GGGGTGGGTCTCGCGTGGGAAGGAAGCTTGCTGGTCACTCCTTGTCGCTCAAACGTGTCTGCGGATGGGTAGATGTGGTTGGATGCATCGTATGACGCAAATGACTCGGTTGTTTGTCACAGCGGCGCCGTCATTGCTGCGCGAGCGACAGAATGCTCTTCCGTTTACATTGTGATTCAAGCTCGCGAAGTAAAACCGTCTCTCGTCGGAAATCACCGTCGAAAATGGTTCATCTCGGTGGATGACCATCAAAATGTCTGTATTTCTCCGTTGCTTCGCTGTTTCATCGGTCCGCTCTTTCACAGAGTGGTGCTTCATTTTCTTGCGGTCATTTTGAGCCACGAGTGGTCTGCCCGAATGGCTGATTTGAGTCTCTTTGGGAGGTGATTGATTTATGCGGTCGATTTTGACTGTGTACAGAGTGATCGGGGCGGGGTGATTGCTTTACAGAAATGATTGGTTTATACGGCTCTCTGCCGATAGCCACTTTCTGACACGGACAGGCCTTTGGCGGAGACACGTCACATCACATAAGAATCAATCCACTCGCACAAGTCAACCTACTACACACCAACGACAACATTAAGAGCCCATACATGTATAGGAAGGTTTAGGGAAGGAGAGACAGGCACCTGACACGCGAGACCCACGCACACCCATAACATATTCTTGGCACACCATCTCCCCTGGCCCGGGCCAAGCATACCAGCAGGACACGCCACGACATGCTGACGAGTCCTGGCCTTTTCCCGGAAACCCAGGGGTAGCCAAGGGGGAAACCTTGGTGATCCGGACTCGCCGCCCTGGTCCCCGTAACTCATTCTGTATATTTCACAAATTCACATCATGAAAAAAGACCAGTGTATGATTTCGTGGACATGTTAAACAGACCGAGTATACCCTTCTCCCATCTCGACGTCAAAGGCCTCGACAGGCAGTGTAGACAGGGCCACATAATGAACGAAAGCGAGACTGGTAGCACAACCAAAACGAAGTTCAGACAGAAAACCACTGACAGAGAGACTGCTCGTGACGGCGCGAACCAACGACACACACGCAAGGGTGCAGGAAGCCGATGCAAGCCTGCCGCGTGGATGGGCTGCCTCACTAATGCGGTCATCAGAGCTGTCAATGAGGTCTCTAGCTCCTCAGTGCCCCTCCTGCCACGCAAGAAGTGGAAACAAAGGAAGGTTCCTTGTAGACACAGACACCGCCAAACCGACCCTGCTGATGATGACATTCGCAACTTGCTGGTCCATACGACATTGGGCAGCGTGACAATGCTGTGTCATTCTTGTCATGTCTCGGCTGCTGTGTCGTTCTCTGCGTTAGTCCATTGTGGACGCGTGCCGTTGTGATGTGTATGGTGCTGCACTCTATTTGCTATACCCGCACCGTGACACTTTTAGACTCTCTTCTTGCTAGGACCTCTATACGAAGATGCGCTTTGGGCTGATTATTCTGTGTAAGCTAATGAAGGAATGAGACTCAAGAAACCTCGAGCTCAATGCAACTTGTCCTCGGCAGGTGTGGCGGTGGCATGCGCTCTTCCTTCCAGCTGTAACCCGTCCCTCCGTCGGCGACTCCAGGGAGGGACCACTGCGCCGCCCCTCGTCGGGACTGAGGGAGACGACGGCGAAGCTTCGAAAGGCGGATACCCAAGAAACAAAGCTCTCGAGGGGACAGACCTAGCGGACACCATGTATGCGCTTGGCGGCGATGATCTCGTGCGAGGCAAAAAAGGGGATGATGCGATATTTGGAGGAGAAGGAAACGACGTAAGCTAGGCGAACGTTGACTGATTTCACGGTGGGGCCGTGTGTGTACGTATTGGTGACACACATTCAGATCCTCCGGGGCCAGGCGGGTGACGATACAGTCGACGGTAAGCGCTTCTCGATTGCAGTCTCCACACACTTGAGGGGATCGTTCCCATGATCCGACTCCGTACGTTCATTCAGGCGGAGCGGGGGATGATGAAGTCACTGGACAATCTGGGGTATGCCACACAGTTACTGCTGGTGCATAAGCGTGCTTGTTTTTCCCCTGTTCACCGTCGCGCATGCAGGATGATCGTCTGTTTGGAGGAGATGGGAAGGATTTCATAAATGCCGACAATGGCAATGACCTTGTGGTGAGGAGGCAGACCAAAGCAGCTCACCTGCAGACGCACAGGCCACTGCTCTCTCCCGATCGTGGGTGGCGGGCAGGATGGCGGTCCGGGTGACGACAACCTGGCCGGTAATAGTGGCACTGATCGAGTCAAAGGGGGTGCAGGTATATACACATACTTATGATGCAGTGGGGCCTAGTTGCATTTGTGGCTTCGTTGCCCAGGTGACGACCTGATCACCGACTTGGATGGAGATTTCGGTGACACGATGATCGGAGGGCCGGGGGCTGACACGTTCATTCTCCGGAAGGATCTCGATAAGGACAAACAGATGGCACAAATCCAAGGTGAACAAGTGGCCGCAAAGAGGCTGAATACACGTCATTGCTTCGGATCCCACTTCTTTATTTCCCATCAGACTTCAACGAGGCCGAAGGCGACAAAGCCATCTTTATAGCAATGAAAAACGCAAAGAACGGTGACAAAGGAAAGCAGAGCAACTAGAGCGTACATATGTGTTTCTGGGTCTCGGGACTCGGTCGTGAGGTCGATGTGTGTGGGGTGGTGGTCACGGCTTCGCAAGAATTCGCTTTCTTGGCAAACGGACTTTTTCTCAGCGTGAAACGGACTTTTGTGCCTGCTATGTGATCGAACTCATCGAACGACGCATGAAGATGCATTCCCGCAACACATGAATGCGGTCAGCAGGGCTGATTGCTTAGACTTTTGGTTGGTTTATATTCGCAAGCGAGCGATTGGTTTATCTTCTCCTTGTTTTCTGCGGGGTTTCTCGCCGTGAATGACTCACCAGAGCTGTTTTCCCCCTCAAAACCACTCTGAAACGACGAAAAACCAGCCATTCACTCATTCAATCCGCCTGTCGACGTGACTGCGAAACCCTTCGCAGTGAGCCTGAGTGTCTCCTGAGTCTGATTCACCCTTGATCTCCACAAGCTGGTTTGCATGGAAGAGGAGTCATCAACATGATGTCCAGTGGGTCCGTGACGGCACAAAGGCGTGAACAGCAGGCATGACAGCAAGCAAATCACATAAATCATGCCGGCCCCCCGCCCGCAGCAGTGAATGCATCAGTCGAAATGATCATCAAATCGCGTCGCTCGCGCGACGCGATGGGTGGGCTGATGGATGGCTGTGAGGGGAGGGGAGGGGAGGGGAAGGCAGGGGTGCGATACGTCGTGGGTACGTGATGACCAATAGCGGTGGGATACCGGTGGTGTAGCATTCATATTGTGTCTTTCTTGGCCGTCCCTCCATCCCTCTATCCCAGTCTGTCTCTCTTCGTGCTTCTCTTCACGCTTCCCTTCCAATCGCCTTTTCCTACCTGCCGCGCCCTGTACCTGCCTTTCCTTATTTTGATGTCGCGCACATCCCAAGTGGCAGGTCTTTTTTGCAGACCTGTGCTTACGATACATGATGGGAGGAGGGGGAAGATTGAGACAAACAGAAGTTACCGTGTGTGAAAAGACCCTCAAAAGCAGAGAAACCCATGCGTTTCTCTTCGATAATTTGGGACGGGAGAAAAGCTGGGGACGTTCATTCATTTGAGCGTCCTCATGAGCACACAGGGCATTCATTTGGTCGCGAGTACTGGACATCCTGCAGTGACCAGGGAGGGGTCCGGCTCACCAAGATTCCCTTGACTACCCCTGGATTTCACATACCCGGCTGCGGCGGCTGGCTGAACCTCGTCCTGCACCACCGACGCCAGCTGCTGTCGAGACCGCCGAAGGCAGACAACATGAGTTGCACCATCCAGACATCTCAACAGCTGCCTACAGAAACCAAGGGGCCGTGAGTGAGACTCAGTAAAAAGCGTGATATCTGACTTTTTTCAGCTGACACTTGGGCACCGGCTGAGCATTCGCAGATGTCATGCGATCATTTCCGTCTCTTTTGTCACTTCGTCGATTTTGAGATGTTTCCCACACCTTTTCCAAGGTTATGTGTGGCGAATGAGGCCAACAAAGTAGGGTTTCCATCCAAAACAAGCACTAGCCGATGTCTAGCCAAGAGAGACAAGAGTGGGATGAACAGGTAGCTCTTGTCGGCGTTCGTACAAAAAATGGATACGTGACACCATCATGTCTCGACGATGATGACAAATGGTGTATGCCTGCTGTCATCCTCCTTTCTCTTCCTCTTGTCCCAGACGACAAGCGGGTGACATAAAAAACTGAACCAGCAGAAGCGAGGTGAATTGCCTCACATTGAATAGTGATATCATGAATCTATTGACAAATGAATTAAATTGACATGAGGAGTCATCTTGTCATGGCTTGCCTTCATGGATATGGTCTCTCATCCATACAGAGTGCTGCAACACCCTTATGAAGTAATGAAGGGGCAAAGTGAAGGCCCAACAACAAGAAAACTGGACTGTTTCTTTTTACTTCCACCACTGTCTCTTCCCCATCCAAGCATCACTCCGATTTCTCCCCCAAGTCATCGAGAAGCCAGGATGATGGTCGACGAGCAGTGGGGCTGACACATACGCCGGCGTCTCAGTCTTAAATAGTCCCTTCCACCAAACGGCGTCGTGGCTATAAGCTCTGCTATCCTGAGCGACCAAGTCCCTGAGGTACTTCGAAAGGCAACGAAGATGCGATTTTCGCACCACATATGCATACGCGCCCCATGCATCGTCCGCGCGTATGATACCGGACTCAAGGAGTTCCGGAGAACGACTCAGCTTCTTTGGATCCACTCTATGAGGCCTGATATTGTGTGCGCCCAAGAACAGAGCCATGGAGTTATTGGGCCATCGCATCAGAAGCTTGTCGAATTGTGCCTTCCATGTCTCTGCATCGACAGGCTTGAAGGGTTTCGCATCATCTTCGAGAAAGATTGCCGTGTCAACGTTGTCTTCGATAGCACGATCGACCGCGTGGATGTTGCCGGCAAGGATTCCCAGCCCTCGTCTGGGCGCCCGGAACGTCTTGATTTGCTGCATATCGAGTGCGGGATATGCGGCTGTCCACTCCCTCAAAAAGCGAGAGTAACGTCCGGGTTCGCCATCAGCCTCAGGCAGAGTCATCACGTACCCACGACGTATCGCATCCGGCATGGATTCAGACTCGTGACTGAATCCGCAGCTGTTCGTGAGATTGCCCGATGGTGGGAGCCTGAGTAGCCTAGAGAGATGGACCGGGACTTCCAAAAAGGAGTTGTCCCAAAACGTCCACAGAACAAGAGATAAAGAAAGCAGCAATGCAAGACAATAGATTTTGAACCTATGGGAACCGTCTTCGCCTTTGAGAAGGGCTTGCAACGCACCCTTATCGCCCACCATACGTATATACGTACCAAGTGTAGCTGCCCGATATGCCCAATATGGATAAATGGATATTATTTCACCAGGTGAAATAATCTACTGTGGGCCTCGGATAAGTCCTACCGCAAGCAATCGACCGCCTCCATCCTCAAGAACAAGGCCAAGGCCAAGAAGGCCCACCACAGCCGTGTGTGCGAGGACAAGCGCAGCGTCCTGGACCGGTAGTCCGTTTTGGTTGGTTGCCTAACGATGTGCCCATGTGTTGGGCGTAATCATGGGCATTCAAAATCACCGACCAATGGTGGTGCCGATATGCGAAGCCGGCGAGATACCCATGGGTAACCTTTCAAGGCACACCCCAACTCCTCACAGAGAGCTTGCGGCCAAGCAAACATGGGAACCAACTTGTCAGGCGTGTTGCCCTGAACAACGTGCACACCACAACATCCCGCCATGTGCGGTCCCCGCGGAGAA